TATAAATTAAAGAATTTGCAATTACCTTTGCTCGAGAATTGTAGCAGTCCAAATTCAAATGCAGAGTAAGGTTGCATTCAGAGTGTGGACATTTAAGAGCTAGTTGATCTTCGCAAGGATGGCCACATCCAACACATTTCGGATAGGGATATTCCTCACTCTGGAAATACAGGAGAGGTTGTTTATGAGAGTCACATCTAAAATTTTCAGAAAGGCTTCCGCGCTTGATAAAAGGAAATTCTCCAAGAACGCAATCAGGATGAACATCAAAATCGCACTTATCACACCGATAAAACAAATGCTTTGGATCTCTTCTATCTTCACAGATTTCACATATGTGTTGAGAAGGATCACCATCAGCCTCCCTTGGATCTTGATAAGTGAGTTTTAAAGGGTGATGGTGGAACCTATGTTGAGCTGTAAGGTGATGGTGGAACCTATGTTGAGCTGTAAGGGGCCGTGTCAGACATCTAAAGTCCAAGGCAAATTTGCAATTCTCCTCTTCATCTGCTAGCATGCATTTGTAAGTTGTAACCACCATGATAACCCATTTCCTTACCGCAGCCACTACATTGTCCCTCATGATCTGCATCATAGTAGAGGGAATGCGCTGCATGTGCTTCATGGGTAATGATGAAAGGGATCTCACTACATCTGAGGCAAATTTTCCCCTCAATAGCATCAACTCCTTCCCAGACGAAACAAAAACCGCTGCAGACATACTTACAAAATTTACATATAAAATCGTACTTCATGCTGACACGAAGAGGATCTCGGGAAGCCCAATGTGGTTTGTCCTCTCCAATTTGGGCACAAGCCTTGTGAAGGGAGAAATTACACTCTGGTTGTGGACAACTATAAGTGGCCTCCAAGATCGGTAATGCACACCCATCGCAACATTTTTTATCACCATTCATAATAATCTCCTCCTTATCAAGCACTAATTCATGCTCGTGGCTGAAATGATCTATCTTGTCTCCTAGCGCCACAGCACAACTTGAAGAAGAAGAAGCCTCATTATCACTTTCCTCATTTTCGGACTCGACTTCGATATAAAGACGACCTTTAACCTTTTTTACGCAACTCCCATGAAGAACATAATTACAGTCCGAATGCAAACATTTGTAACTCCCATAGTCTGCCATCACCATTTTAAAACAAAATTGACAGGTCCAATTTTCACCCTCTTTTTGTGGCAACCAATAGTTGTGGCCAAGTAGATGATGATTGTGGAATTTGAATTTGATGGTTTTTGGCAGCAAAATACAATCCCAATGGACCATGAGATTGCATTTAACACAAAAATAGCGAGCTGAATCTCCTGACCCCCCACATGCATCACAAATGAAGAGATTTTTCCTTATGAATGGGATCAACTGGTGGTCATGGTCATGGATCTTACTTTCTGGGACAAACCGGGGTAAGGTACACTTACGATGAATATAAAAGTCACAAGAGGGACATTGATATCCAATTTCCTTCCCATCACTTTTACCTTGGCAAAAGTGGCAGGCACATAAGGAAAATCTTCGAAAAAGAGGGTGTTGAAGGTGAGAAAAATGCCTAGTCTTAGTTGACAACTCTGCCTCACATTCTTTGTGAAAGAAAAATTGACAGTCAGGACAATTATAAAAAGAAGTGCCCAATAATGGTTTTGAGCAAACAGAGCAGCAAGAGTGTATTTCAACTTTGTTGCTGAGCATTTTGACGAAGACGAGTGGGTGTTCAACATGGCTAAAATGACGATCACGTTTTGGGAGATCTTTGGTGACAAGCAAAGCACATCGGTCGTCAAGATGGAACTTACAAGAAGAACAGCTGTACCTTAATCCCTCGATAACATTAAGACAAAATTTACATGCTGG